GTTAATGTAGCTTAACAACAAAGCAAAGCACTGAAAATGCTTAGATGAGCCTTCCCGGCTCCATAAACATAAAGGTTTGGTCCTGGCCTTTTTATTGTTTTGTAGCAACCTTACACATGCAAGACTCCTCACGCCAGTGAGAATGCCCTTAACATCAAACTAGATCAAGAGGAGCGGACATTAAGCACACTAATCAGTAGCTCAAGATGCCTTGCTTAACCACACCCCCAAGGGATACAGCAGTGATAAATATTTAGCAATGAACGTAAGTTTGACTAAGTTATGCTACTTTAGGGTTGGTAAATCTCGTGCCAGCCACCGCGGTCATACGATTAACCCAAATTAATAAATATCCGGCGTAAAGCGTGATTAGAATAAACAACAAAATAAAATCAAATAACAACTAAGCTGTAGAAAGTAATAGTTGCAAACAAAAATAAACAACGAAAGTGATTTTATACTCTTCGAACTCACGATAGCTAAGGCCCAAACTGGGATTAGATACCCCACTATGCTTAGCCCTAAACTTTGATAATTTCATAACAAAATTATTCGCCAGAGAACTACAAGCCAAAGCTTAAAACTCAAAGGACTTGGCGGTGCTTTATACCCACCTAGAGGAGCCTGTTCCGTAATCGATAAACCCCGATAAACCCTACCACTCTTTGCCAACTCAGCCTATATACCGCCATCTTCAGCGAACCCTAAAAAGGAGCAAAAGTAAGCTCAATTACCACCGTAAAAACGTTAGGTCAAGGTGTAGCCCATAGAGTGGAGAGCAATGGGCTACATTTTCTACTTCAGAATATACGAAAGCCCTTATGAAACTCTAAGGGCCAAAGGAGGATTTAGTAGTAAATTAAGAATAGAGTGCTTAATTGAACAAGGCCATGAAGCACGCACACACCGCCCGTCACCCTCCTCAAGTGACAAATATTTACTTATACCTAATTACATAAATAGACAAGCATAAGAGGAGATAAGTCGTAACAAGGTAAGCATACTGGAAAGTGTGCTTGGACATTTCAGAGCGTAGCTTAACTTAAAGCACTTGGCTTACACCCAAGAGATTTCATTTACTGACCACTCTGAGCCAACACTAGCCCTATGAAACTAACACTGAACCAGAGTAATTAGCTAAACTAAACCATTCACCCCATATTAAAAGTATAGGAGATAGAAATTTATATCCAGGCGCTATAGAGAAAGTACCGTAAGGGAAAGATGAAAGATTAGTTAATAGCACAAAAAAGCAGAGATTACTTCTCTTACCTTTTGCATAATGAATTAGCTAGAAAATCCTTAGCAAAAAGAATTTTAGTTAAGAACCCCGAAACCAGACGAGCTATTTATGAGCAGTTGAAAGAACGAACCCGTCCATGTGGCAAAATGGTGGGAAGACTTGTAAATAGAGGTGAAAAGCCAACCGAGCCTGGTGATAGCTGGTTGTCCAGAATAGAATTTTAGTTCAACTTTAAATTTTCCTAAAGGACATAAAACCCTAATGAAAATTTAAATGTTACTCTAAAGAGGGACAGCTCTTTAGATATAGGATACAGCCTTTTATAAAGAGTAAGTTATTTTTCAATCCATAGTTGGCTTAAAAGCAGCCATCAATTAAGAAAGCGTTAAAGCTCAACAACTAAAAACCAACTTAATAAGAATATTTTAAAACGAACTCTTATAAACCCTAACTGGACTAATCTATAAATCTATAGAAGAAATAATGCTAATATAAGTAACAAGAATACTATTCTCCTTGCACAAGCTTATATCAGATCGGATGCCCACTGATAGTTAACAGCCCCAATAGAAATAATCCACAAATTAATAATCTATTAACTTTCACTGTTAACCCAACACAGGAGTGCTATATAGGAAAGATTAAAAGAAGAAAAAGGAACTCGGCAAACCCTAACCCCGCCTGTTTACCAAAAACATCACCTCTAGCATTACTAGTATTAGAGGCACTGCCTGCCCAGTGACGTACGTTCAACGGCCGCGGTATCCTGACCGTGCAAAGGTAGCATAATCACTTGTTCCTTAATTGGGGACTAGCATGAATGGCAACACGAGGGTTAAACTGTCTCTTTCTTCCAATCAGTGAAATTGACCTCCCCGTGAAGAGGCGGGGATAAAATAATAAGACGAGAAGACCCTATGGAGCTTTAATTATTTAACCCAACACTTCCTTTATTCTACTCTACAATGAGCCTAACCAAGGAAATCCCTGGGTTAAAAATTTTGGTTGGGGTGACCTCGGAGTATAAATCAACCTCCGAATGATTTTAGCCTAGACCCAACAAGTCAAAGCAATTATAATCATAAATTGACCCAAATAATTTGATCAACGGAACAAGTTACCCTAGGGATAACAGCGCAATCCTATTTTAGAGTCCCTATCGACAATAGGGTTTACGACCTCGATGTTGGATCAGGACATCCCAATGGTGTAGCCGCTATTAAAGGTTCGTTTGTTCAACGATTAAAGTCCTACGTGATCTGAGTTCAGACCGGAGAAATCCAGGTCGGTTTCTATCTATTAAGTATTTCTCCCAGTACGAAAGGACAAGAGAAATAGAGCCTACTGCACCACAGAGCTCTAAGTCCAAAAGATGAAATAATCTTAATCTAGTACACTTACCCAACATAGAGCCCTAGACCAGAGCTAGTTAAGGTGGCAGAGCCCGGTAATTGCGTAAAACTTAAAACTTTATAACCAGAGGTTCAACTCCTCTCCTTAACAATATGTTCCTAATTAATACACTCCTTTTAATCCTACCTGTACTTTTAGCCATAGCATTCCTCACCTTAGTCGAACGAAAAATCTTAGGGTACATACAACTACGTAAAGGCCCAAACATTGTAGGACCCTATGGCCTCCTCCAACCAATCGCAGACGCTATTAAGCTATTCACTAAAGAACCCCTACGACCCCTAACATCCTCTCCGCTACTCTTTATTATCGCCCCAACCCTAGCTCTAACTCTCGCACTATCAATGTGACTTCCTATCCCCATACCTTACCCACTAGTCAACCTAAATATAGGCATTCTATTCATCCTAGCAACCTCCAGCTTAGCCGTTTACTCAATCCTATGATCAGGATGAGCATCCAACTCAAAATATGCCCTATTTGGTGCTCTCCGAGCAGTCGCACAAACCATTTCTTACGAAGTCACACTTGCAATTATCCTCCTATGCATCCTCCTAATAAATGGCTCATTTACATTATCATCCCTAATCACAACACAAGAATATATATGAATCCTACTACCAGCATGACCACTTGCCATAATATGATTTATCTCGACCCTAGCAGAAACCAACCGGGCTCCATTTGACTTAACCGAAGGTGAATCAGAGCTCGTCTCCGGCTTCAATGTGGAGTACGCAGGAGGCCCCTTTGCTCTTTTCTTTTTAGCTGAATATACTAATATTATCCTTATAAATGCCCTTACAGCCATCCTATTCCTAGGCTCATTTCACAGCCACACTAACCCAGAAATATTTACAGTCAACTTTGCCACCAAGACCCTCCTACTCACAATAACATTTCTATGGATTCGAGCATCCTATCCCCGATTTCGCTATGACCAGCTAATACACCTCTTGTGAAAAAGTTTTCTACCCCTCACATTAGCCCTGTGCATATGACATATCTCAATGCCTATCATACTTTCAAGTATCCCTCCTCAGATATAGAAATATGTCTGATAAAAGAGTTACTTTGATAGAGTAAATAATAGAGGATCTTAGCCCTCTTATTTCTAGAGCTATAGGACTTGAACCCACTCTCAAGAACTCAAAATTCTTCGTGCTACCATGTACACCAAGCTCTAAACCACTAAGTAAGGTCAGCTAAATAAGCTATCGGGCCCATACCCCGAAAATGTTGGTTTATATCCTTCCCGTACTAATTAACCCCCTAACTCTTATTATTATCATATTTACTCTATTTATAGGCACGATAATCACAGTATTTAGCTCCCACTGACTAACTATATGAATCGGATTAGAAATAAACATACTAGCAATTATCCCTATTCTAATCAACAAAGCCACCCCACGATCAACAGAAGCTGCAACCAAGTATTTTCTAACACAAGCCACAGCATCTATAATCTTAATAATAGCTATTACACTTAATATCCTTGACTCCGGACAATGAACCCTAATTAATCCACAGAATCAACTTACTCCAGTCCTAATTACACTGGCACTAATCATTAAACTAGGAATAGCCCCCTTCCACTTCTGAGTACCAGAGGTCACCCAAGGAGTTCCCCTAAAATCAGGATTAATCCTTCTCACGTGACAAAAATTAGCCCCCCTATCCATCCTTTACCAAATCTCCCCATCAATTAATCCAACTATAATAATATCAGTAGCCATTCTATCAATTATAGTTGGCGGTTGAGGTGGACTAAACCAAACCCAACTACGAAAAATCCTAGCATACTCTTCAATCGCCCACATAGGATGAATAGCAGCTATCATCACATTTAACCCAAATACTATAGTCCTAAACCTAATTATCTATATTCTCATGACAATCCCTATATTCATAATATTCATACAGCACTCAAGTACGACCACTCTATCACTATCACAGATGTGAAACAAAAATCCACTAATAGTATCTACTATCCTAATCACCCTAATATCCCTAGGAGGCCTGCCCCCACTCACAGGTTTTATCCCTAAATGAATTATCATCCAGGAATTAACAAAAAATGGCAATATCATTTTACCCACCGCTATAGCCATGCTTGCCCTCCTAAATCTATATTTTTATATACGCCTTATCTATTCTTCCTCACTAACTATATTCCCTACCACCAACAATCTAAAAATAAAATGACAATTTGAATCAACAAAACGCATACCCCTCATCACTCCACTAATTATTTTATCAACTATACTCCTCCCCCTCACACCAGCACTCTCAGTATTAAATTAAGCTTTAAAGGAGTTTAGGTTACACAGACCAAGAGCCTTCAAAGCTCTAAGCAAGTAGATCATACTTAACCCCTGCTTAAGGACTGCAAATTAACTTTACATCTCCTGAGTGCAAACCAGGTGCTTTAATTAAGCTAAATCCTCCTAGATTGGTGGGCTCCAACCCCACGAAGCTTTAGTTAACAGCTAAATACCCTAGTCAACTGGCTTCAACCTACTTCTCCCGCCGTAAGAAAAAAAAGGCGGGAGAAGCCCCGGCAGAGTTGAAGCTGCTTCTTTGAATTTGCAATTCAATATGTTAGTACCCACCTCAGGGCTTGGTAAAAAGAGGGCTTAACCTCTGTCTTTAGATTTACAGTCTAATACCTACTCGGCCATTTTACCCTTACTTATGTTCGTCAATCGTTGACTTTTCTCTACCAACCACAAAGACATCGGCACTCTTTATCTCCTATTTGGAGCTTGAGCTGGGATGGTGGGAACAGCCCTCAGCCTGCTAATTCGAGCAGAATTAGGTCAGCCAGGGACTCTACTCGGGGATGATCAAATCTATAATGTAATCGTCACCGCACATGCCTTTGTAATAATCTTCTTTATAGTCATGCCTATTATAATTGGAGGCTTCGGGAACTGGCTTGTCCCCCTGATAATTGGGGCTCCTGACATAGCCTTCCCCCGAATAAATAATATGAGCTTCTGACTTCTCCCCCCTTCATTCCTTCTTCTACTAGCCTCCTCAATAGTAGAAGCTGGGGCGGGGACTGGCTGAACTGTTTATCCACCTCTAGCCGGTAATCTTGCACATGCTGGAGCCTCAGTGGATCTTACTATTTTCTCCCTTCACTTAGCTGGAGTATCATCTATTTTAGGGGCTATTAACTTTATTACAACTATTATTAATATGAAAGCCCCTGCAATATCTCAATATCAAACCCCCTTATTCGTATGATCTGTTCTAATCACAGCCGTACTTCTTCTTCTCTCTTTACCAGTCCTAGCTGCTGGCATTACAATGCTTTTAACAGACCGAAACTTAAATACAACCTTCTTTGATCCTGCAGGAGGAGGAGACCCTATCCTCTACCAACACCTATTCTGATTTTTCGGGCACCCCGAAGTATATATTCTTATTCTTCCAGGATTTGGAATAATTTCGCACATTGTGACATACTATTCCGGGAAAAAAGAGCCATTTGGCTATATAGGAATAGTATGAGCTATAATATCAATTGGTTTCCTTGGATTTATCGTATGGGCCCATCATATATTTACAGTAGGAATAGATGTAGACACACGAGCCTACTTTACATCAGCTACCATAATCATCGCTATCCCTACTGGAGTCAAAGTATTTAGCTGGCTAGCAACACTGCATGGCGGCAACATCAAATGATCCCCCGCTATGCTCTGAGCTCTAGGCTTTATTTTCCTATTTACAGTAGGCGGTCTTACAGGAATTGTGCTAGCCAACTCCTCTTTAGACATCGTACTACATGACACCTACTATGTAGTAGCTCACTTCCACTATGTCCTATCTATGGGGGCTGTATTTGCTATTATAGGAGGATTTGCCCATTGATTCCCCCTATTCTCAGGCTATACCCTTGACCCAACCTGAGCTAAAATTCACTTCACTGTGATATTTGTAGGAGTCAACTTAACTTTCTTCCCTCAACATTTCCTTGGCCTCTCAGGTATACCCCGACGGTACTCAGACTACCCGGACGCCTATACAATATGAAATACTGTTTCATCAATAGGCTCATTCATTTCCCTAACTGCCGTAATAGTAATAATTTTTATAATCTGAGAAGCCTTCGCCTCAAAACGAGAAGTAGAGACTATTGAACTAACAACCACAAACCTAGAATGACTTCATGGATGCCCTCCCCCATACCATACATTTGAAGAACCCGCTTTCGTAAAAGCTTAGTACAAGAAAGGAAGGAATCGAACCTCCTAAAACTGGTTTCAAGCCAGCCCCATAGCCACTATGACTTTCTTGATAAGATATTAGTAAAACCATTACATAACTTTGTCGAAGTTAATTTATAGGTTCAACTCCTATATATCTTTATGGCGTACCCCTTCCAACTGGGCTTTCAGGATGCCTCATCCCCTATTATAGAAGAATTACTTCACTTTCATGACCACACTCTCATAATCGTCTTTCTAATCAGCTCCCTAGTCCTTTATATTATTTCTCTTATATTAACTACAAAGCTCACTCACACAAGCACAATGGATGCTCAGGAGGTAGAGACAATCTGAACCATCCTCCCAGCCATTATTCTTATTTTAATTGCGCTGCCCTCCCTACGAATCCTATATATAATAGATGAAATCAACAACCCCTCTTTAACAGTAAAAACGATAGGCCACCAATGATATTGAAGCTATGAGTACACAGACTATGAGGATTTAAATTTTGATTCTTACATGATCCCAACATCAGACCTGAATCCAGGTGACCTACGACTACTAGAAGTTGACAATCGAGTTGTACTTCCCATAGAACTCCCAATCCGCATGCTAATCTCCTCGGAAGACGTACTTCACTCATGAGCCGTACCATCACTAGGACTAAAAACAGATGCCATTCCCGGACGCTTAAATCAAGCCACACTTATCTCAACTCGACCAGGACTTTTCTATGGTCAGTGCTCAGAAATTTGTGGCTCAAACCATAGCTTTATACCTATTGTCCTCGAAATAGTTCCACTTAAACACTTCGAAAACTGATCCCTATCTATGATTTAGACTCGCTATGAAGCTAAACAGCGCTAGCCTTTTAAGCTAGAGAGTGAGAGTTAAATAGTCTCTCCATAGTGAAATGCCACAACTTGACACATCCACATGATTTACTACCATTGTCGCCATAATTCTTTCACTATTTATCCTAATACAACTCAAATTCCACAAATACACATACCCTATGAACCCAGTACTAAAAGCACTTGAGTCTACTTCATTCCCTTGCCCATGAGAAACAAAATGAACGAAAATTTATTCTCCTCTTTCGCTACCCCAACACTAATAGGGCTCCCTATTGTAGCCTTAATTATCATATTCCCAACTTTACTATTTCCCTCCCCTAGCCGACTAATTAACAACCGACTAGTCTCAACCCAACAATGATTAGCCCAACTTATCTTAAAGCAAATAATATTAATACATTCCCCCAAAGGACGAACCTGATCTCTAATACTAATTTCCCTAATCATATTTATTGGCTCAACCAACCTCCTAGGCCTCCTGCCTCACTCATTCACACCAACAACTCAATTATCAATAAATTTAGGGATAGCAATCCCCCTATGAGCAGGAGCCGTAATCACCGGGTTTCGATACAAAACTAAGGCGTCACTAGCCCATTTCCTCCCACAAGGAACCCCTATTCCTCTTATTCCTATGCTAATTGTTATTGAAACTATTAGTCTCTTCATTCAACCTATAGCCCTAGCCGTACGGCTTACAGCCAATATCACAGCAGGCCACCTTCTCATACATCTTATTGGAGGCGCTGCACTAGCTTTAGTCTCAATTAGTCCAACAACAGCCCTAATTACCTTTATTATCCTTATTCTACTAACAATTCTAGAATTCGCCGTAGCCTTGATCCAAGCTTACGTCTTTACTCTCCTTGTAAGCCTATACCTACATGACAATACCTAATGACACACCAAACTCACGCTTACCATATAGTCAACCCAAGCCCCTGACCACTCACCGGAGCCCTATCTGCCCTTCTTATGACATCAGGCCTAGCCATATGATTTCATTTTAACTCCCCCTCACTTCTATTAATCGGCTTAGTAACCAACACTCTCACCATATACCAATGATGACGAGACATTGTACGAGAAGGTACATTCCAAGGCCACCATACTCCTATTGTACAAAAAGGTCTACGATATGGCATAATTCTCTTTATCATCTCAGAAGTATTCTTTTTCGCGGGCTTCTTCTGAGCCTTCTACCACTCAAGCCTAGCTCCTACCCCAGAACTAGGAGGATGCTGACCTCCAACAGGCATCAACCCCCTTAATCCCCTTGAAGTGCCGCTACTAAACACTTCAGTCCTCCTGGCTTCAGGAGTCTCAATCACCTGGGCCCACCACAGTTTAATAGAAGGCAATCGCAAAAACATACAGCAAGCTCTAGCCATTACCATTCTCCTAGGTATCTATTTTACCCTACTTCAAGCATCGGAGTATTACGAAACATCTTTTACTATTTCAGATGGAGTCTACGGATCAACATTCTTCATAGCCACAGGATTTCACGGTCTTCACGTCATCATTGGGTCCACTTTTCTTACGGTCTGCCTTCTACGACAATTTAACTTTCACTTTACATCGAACCACCACTTTGGTTTTGAAGCAGCCGCATGATACTGACACTTTGTAGATGTAGTCTGACTATTCCTATATGTATCAATCTATTGATGAGGGTCATACTCTTTTAGTATCAACTAGTACAGCTGACTTCCAATCAGTTAGTTTTGGCTCCAACCCAAAAAAGAGTAATAAACCTGATACTAGTTCTATTAATTAACACCACCATTTCCTTAGTCCTAGTTACAATTGCATTCTGACTCCCTCAATTAAATATCTATTCAGAAAAATCAAGCCCTTATGAATGCGGATTCGATCCCATAGGATCAGCACGACTCCCTTTCTCTATAAAATTTTTTCTAGTAGCCATTACATTTTTACTTTTTGACCTAGAAATTGCTCTCCTCCTCCCACTCCCATGAGCCGCACAATTTAATAATTTAAACCTAGTCCTCATCATAGCACTTATGTTAATCTCAATCTTAGCCCTTGGATTAGCCTACGAATGAATCCAAAAAGGACTAGAATGAGTTGAATATGATAATTAGTTTAGTTAAAATAAATGATTTCGACTCATTAGACTATGGTAAGACCATAATTATCAAAATGCCTTCAATCTATATTAATATCTTCCTAGCATTTATCCTAGCTCTTCTAGGCATACTAGTCTATCGATCCCATCTAATATCATCCCTTCTATGCCTAGAAGGCATAATACTCTCACTATTTGTTCTAATTACATTAACAGCCCTTAATACCCACTTCACACTATCATTTATATTTCCAATCATCCTACTAGTATTCGCAGCCTGTGAAGCAGCAGTTGGACTAGCTCTTCTAGTTATAGTCTCCAACACTTATGGAATAGACTATGTACAAAACCTAAATCTTCTACAATGCTAAAAACGATTATCCCCACAATCATACTTATTCCAACCGTATGGTGATCAAAACCCCATATAATTTGAATTAACGCAACAGTTTACAGCCTATTAATTAGCCTAACTACCCTCTCTCTACTTAATCAGCCAAGTGACACCAACCTAAACTTCTCAACCACATTTTTTTCAGATGCCTTATCCACTCCTCTCCTGATGTTAACGACCTGACTTCTTCCACTCATAATCTTAGCAAGCCAACATCACTTAGACAAAGAAACCTTAACCCGTAAAAAAATTTATATTTCTCTTTTAATTTCCTTACAAGTATTCCTAGTAATAACATTTTCAGCCACAGAATTTATCCTGTTTTATATTCTATTTGAAGCCACACTGATTCCCACTCTTATCATTATTACACGATGAGGTAATCAAACAGAGCGACTCAACGCAGGAACCTACTTCCTATTTTATACCCTCATAGGATCCCTCCCCCTTCTAGTGGCTTTAATTTATTTACAGAACTCTATAGGATCTCTAAACTTCCTCCTACTTCAACTTATAAATAAATCCATTACAACATCGTGATCAAACTCACTGATATGACTAGCATGCATAATAGCATTTTTAGTCAAAATACCCTTATATGGGCTTCACCTGTGATTACCAAAAGCTCACGTTGAAGCCCCCATCGCTGGCTCAATAGTCCTGGCAGCTATTCTACTTAAACTAGGCGGCTACGGAATAATACGCATTACCATCCTACTCAGCCCTATTACAGACTATATAGCCTACCCATTCCTCATACTCTCCCTCTGAGGCATAATTATAACCAGCTCTATCTGTCTCCGGCAAACAGACCTCAAATCACTCATTGCTTATTCATCAGTGAGCCACATAGCCCTAGTAATCGTAGCCATCCTTATTCAAACACCATGAAGCTTTATAGGCGCCACCGCTCTAATAATCGCACATGGCCTTACTTCCTCATTATTATTCTGCCTAGCCAATTCCAACTACGAGCGCATTCACAGCCGAACCATACTACTAGCCCGAGGCCTACAGACTATTCTTCCACTAATAGCAGCATGATGACTAGTTGCTAGCCTTACCAACCTGGCCCTACCTCCAACTATTAATCTGCTAGGGGAACTTCTTATCATTATGGCCTCCTTCTCATGATCTAACCTCACAATCATCCTGATAGGGACTAACGTCCTAATCACGGCCCTCTACTCCCTCTATATACTATCAACCACCCAACGAGGCAAATTCACGTATCACACAAACAACATTTCCCCTACATTCACCCGAGAAAATACTCTTATAGTACTTCACCTAGCCCCACTTCTTCTACTATCAATTAGCCCAAAAATCATCTTAGGCCTAATATTCTGTAAATATAGTTTAACAAAAACATTAGATTGTGAGTCTAATAATAGGAGACTGCACCTCCTTATCTACCGAGAATGTCTGCAAGAACTGCTAATTCATGCTCCCATGTCTAACCCCATGGCTTTCTCAACTTTTAAAGGATAGAAGTAATCCGTTGGTCTTAGGAACCAAAAAATTGGTGCAACTCCAAATAAAAGTAATTAACTTATTCTCCACCTCTGTAGCTGTATCAATTATTATTTTAGTCCTCCCTATTGTGGCCTCTTTCACTAACATTTTTAATAGTCCTAACTACCCTCACTACGTAAAAACTTCAGTATCTTATGCATTCACTATCAGTCTCATTCCAACATTAATTTTCATCGCTACTAGTCAAGAAATAATAGTATCCAACTGACACTGAATAACAATTCACACCTTAAAATTAACAACCAGCTTTAAATTAGATTACTTCTCTATACTATTCACCCCAATTGCACTATTTGTTACATGGTCTATCATAGAATTTTCCATATGATATATACACTCAGACCCTAAAATCAACCAATTCTTTAAATACCTACTCATATTTCTTATTACTATACTAATTTTAGTCACCGCTAATAATATATTTCAGCTATTTATTGGATGGGAGGGAGTGGGAATCATATCATTTCTCCTCATCGGCTGATGACACGGGCGAACAGATGCCAATACTGCAGCCTTACAAGCAATCTTATACAACCGCATTGGAGATATTGGCTTTATTATAGCCTTAGCCTGATTTGCTATTAACCTCAACACATGAGAACTCCAACAAATCTTTATTTTAGACAATAACATTACCATCCTCCCACTGATAGGATTAATTCTTGCCGCCACGGGCAAATCCGCACAATTTGGTCTACACCCATGACTCCCATCAGCTATAGAAGGCCCGACGCCCGTATCAGCCCTACTTCATTCTAGCACAATAGTAGTAGCTGGAGTTTTCCTCCTAATCCGCTTCTACCCCTTGCTAGAAAATAACAAAACTGCCCAAACATTAATCCTATGCCTAGGCGCAATCACTACCTTATTCACAGCCCTATGTGCCCTCACACAAAACGACATCAAAAAAATTGTAGCCTTTTCCACATCAAGTCAACTCGGACTAATAATGGTCACAATCGGAATTAACCAACCACACCTGGCATTTCTCCACATCTGCACCCACGCCTTCTTCAAAGCTATGCTCTTTCTCTGCTCCGGCTCAATTATTCACAGCCTCAATGATGAACAGGATATCCGAAAGATAGGCGGCCTATATAAGACTATACCCTTCACAGCCTCAGCCCTCACTATTGGTAGTCTGGCCCTCACAGGTATACCATTCCTAACAGGCTTTTACTCAAAAGATCTAATTATTGAATCAGCAAACACGTCTAATACCAACGCCTGAGCCCTTATCATCACTCTTATTGCCACATCCCTAACAGCTGTCTATAGCACTCGAATTATCTTCTTCGCCCTCCTGGGTCAACCCCGTTACCCAGCCCTTATTGTTATTAACGAAAATAACCCTCTACTCATTAACTCTATTAAACGCCTTGCACTAGGAAGCATTTTTGCAGGATTCTTAATTTCCAACCTTATTACACCAAACAATGTCCCTCAAATAACTATACCCCTATATATAAAAATAACTGCTCTATTTGTTACCATTATAGGCTTTACTATTGCAATAGAACTTAACCAACTCAGCCTTAGTCTAAAAATAACTACACAATCTCCGTACTTTAACTTCTCAAACATACTAGGGTTCTTTCCAATGACAATTCATCGTATTCTACCCTATCTAAACCTTTCAGCTAGCCAAAACATAGCCACATTACTCCTAGATATGACCTGAACTGAAAAAGCGATCCCGAAAAATATCTCAGACATTCAAATTTTCGCATCAACCTCCGTATCCTCACAAAAAGGCCTCATTAAACTCTACTTCCTATCTTTCTTAATCTCTTTACTCTTAGTACTATTTATTTTAACCTAGCCCCACGAGTAATCTCAATAACAATAAAAATACTAACAAATAAAGATCAACCCGCAACAACCATCAATCAACTACCATAACTATACAACGCCGCCACCCCTATAGAATCCTCCCGGATTAATCCTACCTCGTCCCCTTCAAAAACCACCCAATCCCCCATATTTTTAAAATCAACCACAATCTCAACCCCATCACTCATCACTATATACACAACCAAACCTACCTCTATTAACACCCCTAAAACGAATATACCCAAAATCATAACATTCGATCCTCAAGTCTCAGGATACTCCTCAGTTGCCATCGCAGTAGTATACCCAAAAACTACCAACATCCCCCCTAAATAAATTAAAAACATCATTAAACCTAAAAATGAACCCCCGAAACTTAAAACAATACCACACCCGACCCCACCACTAACAATCAACCCAAGCCCTCCATAAATTGGTGATGGCTTAGAAGAAAACCCAACAAACCCCATCACAAACATTACACTTAATAAAAACACTACGTATGTCATAGTTCTTACATGGACTTGAACCATGACTAATGACATGAAAAATCATCGTTGTTTTCAACTATAAGAACCTAATGACCAACATTCGCAAAACCCACCCCCTATTAAAAATTGTTAACCACTCCCTAATTGACCTTCCTGCTCCATCAAACATCTCTGCCTGATGAAACTTTGGCTCTCTACTAGGCCTGTGCCTTATAATTCAAATTTTCACTGGCCTATTCTTAGCCATACACTACACCTCTGACACAACAACAGCATTCTCATCAGTAACCCATATTTGCCGAGATGTTAACTATGGCTGACTTATCCGATACCTCCACGCTAACGGAGCATCTATATTCTTTATTTGCCTCTACATACACGTAGGCCGCGGAATCTACTATGGATCATACACATACCTAGAGACCTGAAACATTGGCATCATCCTCCTATTCGCAGTAATAGCCACAGCATTTATGGGTTATGTCCTCCCATGAGGACAAATATCATTTTGGGGAGCAACCGTAATCACTAACCTCCTATCAGCAATCCCATATATCGGAACAACCTTAGTTGAATGAATCTGAGGAGGATTTTCAGTTGATAAAGCCACTCTTACCCGATTCTTCGCTTTTCACTTCATCTTGCCATTTATCATTGCAACTTTAGTCTTAATTCACCTCCTCTTTCTACATGAAACTGGCTCCAACAACCCCACAGGAATTCCTTCAAACTCAGATAAAATCCCTTTCCACCCCTACTACACAATCAAAGACACCCTAGGTTTCCTTGTAGCCATTCTTCTCCTCCTTATTTTAGTCCTATTTTCACCAGACCTATTAGGAGACCCAGACAACTACACCCCTGCCAACCCCCTTAATACCCCTCCCCATATCAAACCAGAATGATACTTTCTATTTGCCTACGCTATCCTACGCTCTATTCCAAATAAACTCGGAGGAGTCCTAGCTCTAGTCCTATCCATCCTTGTTCTAGCCTTCATCCCATTCCTTCATATGTCTAAACAACGTAGCATGATATTCCGACCCATTAGTCAAGTCCTATTCTGAGTTCTCGTCGCAGATCTTCTCACACTCACATGAATCGGAGGCCAACCAGTAGAACACCCGTTCATCACCATTGGACAAGTAGCATCTGTCCTCTACTTCACCACCATCCTTATTCTTATACCCCTCGCAAGCCTAATCGAAAACAAAATCCTCAAATGAAGGTCCCAGTAGTATAAATATTACTCTGGTCTTGTAAGCCAGGAATGGAGATAGTTCTCCCTGAGACATCAGAGAAGAGGCTCCTGCCCCACCATCAGCACCCAAAGCTGATATTCTACTTAAACTACCCTCTGCTCTTTTACTTTAATAAAACTCAAGTACTTCATCAGTACTGACAAATTACTAACACACTATGTAATTCGTGCATTAATGCTCGCCCCCATTAAAATGTATTACAACAATAAATTCATAACCAACATTTAACATACTATGTTTAATCGTGCATAAATTCCTCATCCCCATGAATAATAAGCTAGTACATTACTGCTTGATTGGACATAATCCACTTAATACATCACACATAATCCAACAAAAAAATTGACCCAAACATGAATATTCTCACCAAAAATCTAATGATTGACTTGACATCAGACATCAATTCCATAATTAAACATAGACCATCAAATCTACACACACCACTCAACTCTTACCCATACGACTATCCCTCTCCCCCAGTCCTCTCACAACTTACCATCCTCCGTGAAACCAACAACCCGCCCACCAAGGATCCCTCTTCTCGCTCCGGGCCCATAAAACTTGGGGGTTTCTAATATGAAACTATAACTGGCATCTGGTTCTTACCTCAGGGCCATGAACCTAAGATCGCCCACACGTTCCTCTTAAATAAGACATCTCGATGGACTAATGACTAATCAGCCCATGCTCACACATAACTGTGATGTCATGCATTTGGTATTTTTAATTTTTTGGGTTATGCTTGGACTCAACATGGCCGCGGTGGGCCCTGACCCGGGACACTTATTGTAGACGAGCACCTAATGAAGACCCTCCATCCTCATAATTATGAGCCGGGACATTCTTTTAATGCTTGTCGGACATAAAGAGATTTTAGCACGTACACCCGTACGCACGCACGTACACCCGTACGCACGCACGTACACCCGTACGCACGCACGTACACCCGTACGCACGCACGTACACCCGTACGCACGCACGTACACCCGTACGCACGCACGTACACCCGTACGCACGCACGTACACCCGTACGCACGCACGTACACCCGTACGCACGCACGTACACCCGTACGCACGCACGTACACCCGTACACCCGTACACGACTATTCCAATTATATAGATGAATTTATCCACCAAACCCCCCCTACCCCCCCACTAAGTAAATTCATTGCCCCAAGGCAATGAATAAACTATGCATATTAATTTCCTGCCAAACCCCAAAAACCAAGAATCACCGCACAGTATTTACTTAGACTAAATTTAAACCCCCTTTCCCACCCCAAGTCAGACAGCTCAGGGCATCTAAATTTTGAAATTTAAAACGCACCTTTACAATACTGACATAGCACTCTAGCCCTTTTTTTCCTTTTAACAGGTTTAACTCAATTAAATACAAATTGTATAATATTTGGACTAAACCCCCTTTCCCACCCCAAGTCAGACAGCTCAGGGCATCTAAATTTTGAAATTTAAAACGCACCTTTACAATACTGACATAGCACTCTAGCCCTTTTTTTCCTTTTAACAGGTTTAACTCAATTAAATACAAATTGTATAATATTTGGACTAAACCCCCTTTCCCACCCCAAGTCAGACAGCTCAGGGCATCTAAATTTTGAAATTTAAAACGCACCTTTACAATACTGACATAGCACTCTAGCCCTTTTTTTCCTTTTAACAGGTTTAACTCAATTAAATACAAATTGTATAATATTTGGACTAAACCCCCTTTCCCACCCCAAGTCAGACAGCTCAGGGCATCTAAATTTTGAAATTTAAAACGCACCTTTACAATACTGACATAGCACTCTAGCCCTTTTTTTCCTTTTAACAGGTTTAACTCAATTAAATACAAATTGTATAATATTTGGACTAGAAATCTCTAGTCTAGGCTAAA